GTCTCCTTATCTTTTTTTTTAATATATATTTTATTGATTTTTTACAGAGAGGAGGAGAGAGGGATAGAGAGCTAGAAACGTCGATGAGAGAGAAACATCAACCAGCTGCCTCCTGCACACTCCCCACTGGGGATGTGCCTGCAACCGATGTACATGCCCTTCACCGGAATCGAACCTGGGACCTTTCAGTCCGCAGGCTGACGCTCTACCACTGAGCCAAACCAGCTTCGGCGGGTCTCCTTGTCTTAACAAGCCCTAACACTCCTCCTTCTTCTCAGGCAAATGATGTTCAATCCCTTCCCTGGACTTCATTTCCTCCTCCTCTTCTGCACCCTTTTGGGCAGATCCTCAAGGCTCAAGTCTTCTTGCTCAGCCCTTGCTCAGTCACTTTCATGGCTTACAAAACAGGGTATTAAATCTTCACTACTTTCCCAAAATTTAATATCATAACTCTAGCTGCCCCAAAGCCATCCATATTTGAATGGTTTTTCTTTTGTTTTGATATATCTAAAGCATAATTTGCTACTGTGTATAAATTAGTGAAAAAATTATATATTCCACTGAAATGGAATATTATTCAGCAATAAAAAAGAATGAAATCTTGCCATTTGTGACAGCATGGATGGACCTAGAGGGTATTATGCTGAGTGAAATAAGTCATACAGATATAGTCAAATGCCATATAATTTCACTCATATGTGGAACCTAAAAAACACACACCAAAACAAATGAATAAACAAGACAGAATAGAAACCGAACCATAATTATAGAGCTGATGGTTGCCAAAGGGAATAGAGAGATGGGAATAAAAACAAAACAAAACACACAACTATCCATAACTCTCTACCAACCTAACCAAAAACCAATAATTTAGTTGTAGTTCTTAGTCTTTCTCATTGCATATGTTTTCTGCCATTGTAATAACAGTTTACAATTCTAATTGTATCTTGCTCACAATTCTAATTATTCCATAGTGATTTTCCATGTTGAAAAAGCTTTCATAATAGATTATTGTTTTACTATTATTTTTGTTTCTATTATAGTAACTCTCTCCTACAGTTCATTCTACATACCTGGATGACTTTAATCTTATCCACAGCACAGCTTTATGCATCTTTCACGTGCTGAAGAATCTTGGGTGATTCCTTATTGTTCAAAAAATAAAGCGCAGGTAACTTAGTTAAGGTCAAATGCCCCACTCAAGCAGTAGCTTATCTTTTCCAGCCCCATGTCTTTCCTTCAGCCAAACTGTATGACTTATGATTCCATAATAAAAAATGATAATAGCCCCAGCACCTTCTTCAAGCCATTCTGTCTACCTACAATGCTCACTTTTCCTTTGAATCTTTTTCTTTTTCATTTTTTTCCACTGATAATTTATTTTTTATTATTTTTTATTATTTTTAAAGTATATTTTATTGATTTTTTACAGAGAGAAAGGAAGAGAGAGATAGAGAGCTAGAAACGTCGATGAGAGAGAAACATCGACCAGCTGCCTCTTGCACCCCCACCCCCACCCCACCGGGGATGTGCCCGTAACCAATGTACATGCCCTTGACCGGAATCGAACCCGGGACCCCTCAGTCCACAGACCGACGCTCCATCACTGAGCTAAACCGGTTTCGGCTGACAATTTATTTTTTAAAATTCAGTTTAATTTCCCCACCTCATCATCTTTTATTCCTCTGTGCCCGCTACCACCTCCACCCATCATCACAATCACCACACTGTTGTCTCTTTGACTCTTTGGCTCAGAAGCTATTTCCTTCCCTAGAGAAGCTTCTCTAGCTTTCCTACTCATCATGATTACTCTCTTTTCTCTGTTGAAAATTTTCTACTTGTTGCCTGAACCACTTGTTGGCCAAGTTCTTAGGCTGATACCTTATACCTCTGTATGTTCTTGTGGCTCAGCACAAAGAACATGCTCAATAAACACTTATTAATGATGATTATGATGCCCATTGTCAGCACAGCTGTTCTGCTTTCTACAATAATGAGGACAGCAATATGGGAGCATTAGGGAGGAAATTCACTCTAGTCTTCCTTAAATACTGCCAAAAGTCCCAAGAGAGAAAAATGGTACTGGAGAAAAAAAAAGAAGAAAAAGGGAGCAAAAAATGCAAAATAGCAGTAGTAATAGTGATGATTGAAATAGAAAGATTTAATAATTGAAAAGGTAAAATCAAGTAAGGAAAAAAGAAAAAAATTCGTTTCTTAAGTAAAAAAAGTAAAAAATGAAAATAAAATAAAGAATAGTAAAATTAGCATTAAAATGTCCAGTAGTGGTCATTCACTTCCTCTATTATTGTATTTGGCACGCCTGATTCTCGGATCAGACAGTCTTGCAGTTCCCAGCGTTCCACTGCACCTCAGTTATTTGTGTCCATTTATTTTTGATTAATTAAAAGAAAAAAAGAAAAAAAAAAAAAAGCAGTTTGTAATTCAGCCCCTAGGTGGCAGTGTTTCTGGTTTGACCTCCCAGTCTTTTTGGCTGCTCTGGCCTTCTTTCTCTATGGCTCTAGCTGCCAGAGCGCCTGCTGGCTCCCAGACTATCTCTTCTGTCTCTGATTCCCCATTTTCAGGAAGGCAATTTCCCCTTGCAATCTGCCCGGATATGCCCAACTGGGCAGTCCTTCCCTAGTATTCAGAAGCAAGGGGGTGAAGGGGATCAGGCGCCGAGGTGTCCAGATGTTCCGCCCTTGGTGGGACAGCCCCCATTCTTAACAATCTGTCCCCTGTCCCTTGGCGTTTTAAAAAAGTCCCCCTTCTGGGGAAGATTACGCCAAGCCCAGCACTGGATCTCGCCGGGCAGGATTCTCGCTGCAGCCCCAGCGCAGTTCGGCTCGGGGGCCGCTCGGGCGTGCAGCAGCTACAGTCGCTGCCAGCGCAGCGGGGACCCAGAACCCTCACGCTATCCCTGCAAACTCTGACCTTTCCGTGGGTGATCGAAGAACTCCCTTGAATCCACGTGTTTGCGCCAATTGGGGCGTCACAGCTGCTCGATGGTCTCCTCTACTGTGGGTTTTCCAGGCCTCAGAGAAGATCCTCCTTTCCTGGTAAGATGGCACAGCCTTCCTTCTGAGCCCGTAGCTCCGGGAGAGGTTTCCGCCACCGGAGTGCTGGCTGCTTGGTCAGGAAATCCTGTCCAGCGGACCCTTCCTTACCTTCCTTGAGAGTTCCGCTGCCCCTTAGCTGCCAATCAATATTCCCTGAGCGACTCAGACGCTGCTTCTATCTGTTCTGGGACCAGGGTCAGAACAAGTCCATCTGTTCGGTGGACATCTTGTCCCCCGCCCCCACATTCCACTTGTTAAGGCTACTGTCTTTCCCCTCTGGACTTTCCCAGGATCCAGACTGCCCAGAGAGTTCACTACCGAAAAAGCCCACTTAACGTACTTTCAAACCTCTGACTCCCCATCCCTGGGTGCCAGTGCCATTTTGGAGCTCAGCCCATATGGGTCTCCAAATGACCTAATTCTATCTAATAAAAGGCTAATATGAGTTTGACCAAACTCGTTATGATGTGCGCTGACCACCAGGGGGCGGCGAGGAACAAAGGAAGGCCCCAGAGGAAGGAAGCCAGAGGAAGGAAGGCCCTGATTGACCCTGATCTCCAGCCAGGCCTAGGGATGCTACCCGTGCATGAATTTCATGCACCAGGCTGCTACTTAGTTTATAAATCTTTACAACTTTTGGCCTCTTGCCTTTCTTGGTGACCCTAACAGGCCACCGATTCCTTCTCAATAAAACAAGGGTTATCAGTATGAGTATTAAAAAGGGGAGGCCCTTAAAAAGTCACTGACAACTTGCCCTCTCTGTACTTTGGTAAGAATGGTCATGAGTATTAAATTTAAAAAGGGTAAAATGCTTACCATAACGCTGTAGTAGTGATAAGGGGGACTTATAACTTGATAGAGCACTTTAATCTGAGAAATAATCATATTATTTTAAACCTTAGAACACATATTTATGTGAATAGGAGGTTAAGTTTCTCATATGTGAAAAGGGGCTTAAGTTTTTCTTAAGTTTCCTTTTCAAGGCCTGTGTGAAGCTGACTCAGCTGTGAATCCAGCAAGCTGAACCAATTATCATGGTCAGACCAATCCACCAGGAGTCAAAACATCATCTCATCACCTGATAACCAAGGACAATAGCGGCACCTCCAGGCCTCCAGGGCTACCAACTCCATTCTGTTCCCAGCCTCACCCTAGCTCCTTCGCCTCCCCCTTTATAATCATCCCCTGCACCTTGCTGTAAGACAGGATTTGAATGCTTGTAAGAGCCCTGTCTTCTTGGTTGGCTAGCCTTCTCAATAAACGCCTAATATGATTCAACCCTGCCTTCGTTATTGGACACAGCGAGAGGCAGTCTGAGACCAGTAACAGTAGCAATGACAGCACTGGTGTATGGTTGAATTTGCCACATAGAATTTCTTGAGGGTTTTTTTTTTGGGGGGGGGGGCGATGGGATGGGGAAGGGTCTTTTTAGGTATATTAATTTTTTAAATCTTTATTGTTGTATTACATATGCTCCCCCCCCCCTCATTAACCCCCTCCAGCCCGCCTCTGCCCCCCACTTTTTTCTCATTCTGTTTTCTACTATTAGCCCAGGCTGTCCTGACCATTCTTACCAAAGTACAGAGAGGGCAAGTTGTCAGTGACTTTTTAAGGGCCTCCCCTTTGGTAGGCAGCTGTGCTATGATTTTTAACTGAGTATCTCCGCGTACCCACCTTGCAGAAAGCTTTCTATTTAAAAAAAAAGGGGGGGGGGCGTGTGTTTCTGAAGAATGGTTTTTGTGGGCGAGTGGAGAGGGCTGAAAAGTGACGGAGGCGGGAGTTAGAGGCAGGGAGGAATGCCCAGCGTTACAAGCATGTGGAAGGGATCGCTGTGACGGTGAAAGCAGTCTACTGCGGCTCTGTTTCTTTTCCGCTCTAGGATTCGCCCCCACTGGTCCCAAAACGCCGAAATTGAGCGTTGTCTGCGCATGTCAACGTCTTTTGTCCCTCGGCGGACACCGTCTGCCAGCCAGAGCGGTGCCCGGGCGCTCGCCCTCTCCGTAGGGTGTCCGTCGGCTTCTACCTTCTCAGCCGGGCGGGCCATGGCCAGCCGCGGGGCCCGGCAGCGCCCCAGGGGCGGCGGCAGCGGCGGCGGGGACCCGGCCTCGGCCGCGGACAAGCTGCGGGAGCTGCTGTGCGGCCGCGAGGCGGGCGGCGCGGAGCCGCGGGCCGAGTAGGTGCGGGGCGGGGGCGTGGCCGGCGGCGGCGCGGGGGGCTTGTCGCCCCGAGGGTCCGGCCGCCTCTGCACCCAGGTCCCTTTGCTCTTCTCGGGCGGGTCCGCGTTCGGTCTCCACCCCGTCCTAGACCTCCACCTGGGTCCGCGTGGCTGTGAGGCAGCCTGGGGTGCGGGCCCGGCGTGGGCTGGCGTCCTGTGGGTGGGTGAGCTGGCAGGCGCGGAGAGGGTTCCTTTCTGGGGTCTCGCCGAAGCCCCGGCCCTGTAATGCGAAGGCCCCGCAGCCTCCAGCTCAGCACCCACCTCCCTCCGAGGCCGGGAGCTGCAAGCTGGGGCTGCACCAAGGAGCTGTCAACAGACGGAATTGGAAGAGGTCACAGTGCGTTGCCCATGTTAGGCCTCTGCACATGGGAATAAATGATCAGATGAATTAAGCCATGGACAGCAATGACCTTGTTAAGAAAAGAAAGACACAGGGTGAGAGCGTTGTGGGCTTCAAGTGAGTGGTTAGTTAGCTTGGGGTAAATGGAGTGTCTTACATGTCAAAAACGATACGGATTAGCTTAGTTTACACGTGCAAAACCGGAAGTGGAAGGAATGATTTAGGTTGATCTACTCCAAACATCTCACTGCCCACGTTTATTGGTGAAGACTTCAGCGGCTCCCGCAGCTTTAATGTCCCTCGCCCGTCTTGTCTTTTTTTGGTCTAATTTTAGTCCTAGTTAGCAGGTACTTACTGACACATACTTTTTTTTTTTTTTTTTTTTTTTTTTTTTTTTTTTGCTTCTGAGAAGGTTATCTGGGAACAAAGCTGGACAAGTTTGGGCACCGGAAGGATCTACTGCTTTCAAGTGTTTGCTCTCAGCAAGGCTATGTGCTGCTCTTCTGAGCAACATCTCAGACTGTGATGAAACATTCAACTACTGGGAACCAGTAGGTTACTTTCTGGTTCTTGATTTCACTGCTTGGGACCTTGTTACTAATCAAGATATAAATACTATATACACGTGTTACTAGTAGTAAAATAACTTTATTTGCACTTTCGTATTCTAAGTTGATGACTTAGTAGTAGTGACTATTTTTTCAAATACCTATTTATTGATTTCAGAGAGGAAAGGAGAGGGAGAGAGAAACATCAATGATGAGAAAGGATCATTGATTGGCTGCCTTCTGCAGGCCTCCTAAGGGGAACCCAGCACCCAAACAGGGCATGTGCCCGAATTGGGAATCAAACCTGTGACCTCCTGGTTCATAGGTTGATGCTCAATCACTTGAGTCACCCTGGTTAGGCAGATTTAGAGTTGTTGTTGTTGTTGTTTTTAATAAGTAGCAGATAAAATTCAAGCTTTTAAAGCTGACCAAACAATAATCTTGTAGAATTTATAATGTCCTAATATTTCTTAATATTGTGTCATTTTGATTCTTATCCATTAGTTGCAAATCTTGAGAATTTCAACATTTTTGTATACCGTTGTTTCATCAATATTTTTGCTTAAAATCTTCATCTTCATCCTTTTTTTCAGACACACTACCTCATCTATGGGAAGGGGTTTCAGACTTGGGAATATTCCCCAGTTTATGCCATTCGCTCCTATGCTTACCTGTTGCTTCATGCCTGGCCAGCTGCATTTCATGCAAGAATTCTACAAACTAATAAGGTAAGGGCAGGCCAACCTGGAAGCAGTCACAACTGATCAAGAGATGAGAAAAGGACAAAATAGTTTGGTAATTAAGAGGAGACGTTTTCTAGAAGAAGAATTATTTATTCATTCATTGTTCAACAAATATTAATTAAGCAACTTTTATTTGGTAGACACTTTATTAAGTGCTACGGATGTAACAATGACCAAATCCCTACCCTCATGGAATTTATGGTTTAATAAAACCATCAGAAGGAATAACTAAGAAAGTGGTTGCCTCTAGGGACTGGGATTTGAACATAAAAAGTTGGAACTGGGAACTACTATTTTTATTAAAGTTTTGTAGTAATGGTTAACTTTAAAAACTACCCCAAATTATTATTTTTATTTAAAAAATTTTTAAGGAAGTTACAAGTTATATCCTTTTATAAAACAGTCAAATTTTCTATAGTCTTCAATTACTACTACTAACCTAGCCAGCATGGCTCAGTGGGAAGACTACTTGTAATTGAACAAGTAATTATAATTTGAAGAGTACCAATATGCAGTGTGATAGCATATTAGGAGAGCCTACTTAAACAGAGTGCTGCAGGATAGTTAGAAATTAAACTTGATTACTTTTCAGAAATATGACTATGATGCATCTTGGCATGGATTTCTTTTGGGTTTGTCTTGTTTGGAGTTTTCTTAGCTTCTTGAATCTTTAGGCTTATGTCTTTTGCCAAATTTGGAAAGTTTGTTTAAAAAATATTTTTATTGATTTCAGAGAGGAACAGAGAGGGAGAGAAAGATAGAAACATCATTGATGAGAGAAAGTCAAAGATCTGCTGCCTCCTCCATGCCTCATAATGGGGATCAAGCCCACAATCTAGGCATATGCCCTGACCGGAATCTAACCGTGCCTTCAGGGTTACTAGGTCGATGCTCAACTCTGGCTGGGCTGGAAAGTTTTTAGCTGTATTTTTCTTTTTTTTAGTATTTTTTCAGCCCTGCCCTGAATAAAAAAAACACAAAAAAACAAAAACAAAACCCTGAATAGCTGCAGCAATCTTGAGAAAGAAAAACAAAGTTGGAGGAATCACAATACCAGATTTCAAGATGTACTACACAGCCACTGCAGCTATTCAGGGTTTTGTGTGTTTTTTTGGGTTTTTTTTTGGTTCCATATATATTTTTGGAGTATTTTTTCTAGATCTGTGAAATATGCTGTTGGTATTTTAACACAAATGCATTGAATCTATAGATTGCCTTGAGTAATATGGACATTTTAATGATATTGATTCTACCAATCCATTAACACAATATATTCTTCCACTTGTTTATAGATTCTTTTATTTCTTTTTCAATGTTACAATGGTTCCTTTAATACTTAGGGAATTCTAACATCTCTCTTTTTCTTTTGATATTTATTTATTGTGATGTTTTGTGTTCTTTTTTCATTGAGTTTGAAATCTTACTAGTTAACAAGTAATTTTCAGTTAAAACTTGGATATTTTGGGTATTCTATTATGAGACTGCATGTTATTCATGGGCCCCGCATGCTTCTGCTGCACTGCTCTGCTCCTCTGGGTCGCAATTAAGCCTTTGTTTTAGCTGGCTTCTTTTGATACACTCCACTTGTTACTGCACGTGAGAGTAGAAGTCTAGGTTCCCCACTAGTCTCCACTGATAATACCCTAGTGGGCAGGCTAGGTGCACTGCATAATGACACTGTAGTTCAACAATGGATGCAACTCATTCCTCATGTGTTTGTGGCTCTTTATTACTTATTTTAAAAAGTTAAAAAAAAAAAAGTAAAGTATTATGCCATCTAACGTTGGCAGCAGCCTCATACATCCAGTGTTCACTTGAGTACATCATTTTCTCTTGTGCTTGATTTAATCTCATGTTTTGTACAGTACCATACATAGCCTAGGAGCAGCAAGTGCTACTAGGACCCATCTATGTTTGTGTAAATATAGTCTATGATGTTTGTACAAGGACGAAATCGCCTAACATTGAATCTTTCAGACTGTATATGCATCAGTAAGTAGCAATGACTGTACTGCTAGTTTGGGGGAGAGGAACGGGCTCTCCAGGGGAACTTTACTGACACTGCGGTGGAAGAGAGAGTTCATTTATCCACTGGCAAGGATAAAAGTCCTGGCTTTCTACTGGACCTTTGGTTGCATCAGTGAGAGTGGAGCTACATTTTTTTCTGTCTGGGGTGTTTGGCTGGAGTAGAGTGGTTATTGTCTAAAAGTTGTCTGTCTTGCTAGGTTATCTCTTTCTTGGGTTTTTGGCTAGATAGAGCAGGTACTCATTGGTGTTATTTTGTCTCTGCCCATTGGCATTTCTAGTTTCCAAGTTTGGAATATGAAAGACAAAAAAAGAAAATCCAGCAAACTTAACCCTCATGTTGTTACTTAGGTCCTCATCCAAGGATATTTTTCCATTGATTTTTACAGAGAGTGGAACAGAGAGGGAGAGACACAGAGAGAGAAACATCGATGTGAGAGAGACACATGCCCTTAAACGGAATTGAACCTGGGACCCTTCAGTCCATGGGCCGAGGCTCTATCCACTGAGCCAAACTGGCTAGGGCTATTTATGACTACATTTTAAGGACCACAGATAATCATCAACTAGAAAGCTTTGATATGCTTGCTAAACATAGTGAAGTTTCTCAAAGGCCACAGTATGAAAATTTAACATGAAGTGAAATCTGGGATGCAGAAATGGAGTTGGTTTTGTTCATATCTACATCTATACAATTGTATTTTAGAAATGCTTGATAAATGAATAAGCTTTATAAACAAATTTTTCACTTTTTTTGTAGCCAGAAATTTTATCATCTGCATACTTGTCCATGAAATAGATACAGCATAATTTATTTAACCATTTCCCTAAATTTATTTAACCATTTCCCTATAATTGGATGTTTTGTAGTTTTTAAAAAGGTGTTTTTTTCTGAATTAATAGTGCTGCAATTAATATTTTCATGAATAGAATCACCATCCCATATTTACTTACATAGTTACTTCTGTGAGCTGGAATCATAGAATTAGATATACTGAATAGGGAATATGAAAATTTTCATGGTTTTTGATACCTATTGCTTTTTATAAGGATTATATAAATTTATAGTGTTATTAATAACAAATGAAAGTGGTATCATGGTTAAGAGTTTTGCTGACTTGTATCTGTGATCTGGTGTGTTGTTTTTTTCCCCTGGATTTCTTTCAGATTCTTGTCTTTTACTTTTTACGATGTCTTCTGGCTTTTGTGAGCTGTATCTGTGAACTTTACTTTTACAAGTGAGTATAAAAGCTTTGTTTTTAAAAGTGCTATGAGGAAACCCAATGAAGCATAGATTATTTTTCTGATAGTATTAGCAGTGTTTAAAAATAGCACTTTTCCTTCTAGTTTCTAATATTATATTTCAAATGTGACCACTTGTTTGAAACAAACTGTTGGAAGGGGAATAATTCTAATGATCACTTTTTCCCTCCTGAGTTTCATAAATACTATAACTTCATATTATTAATTTTAATTCTGTTAATATATATCTAACTAGTCTTCTCTTTGGGAGGATTTAGTAGACATTATTTTGGGTCCCAAGATATAGATAGGATCATAATGATTTACCTCTTCCTCTCGATCTTAACTGACAGGAACTTATTCCCAGTGTGGGACTCACTGCTCTTATTTGCATCCAGTAAATGAATTTCACCAACTACCTATTATTTGCTTGAATATTAGTGTTTCAGTAATAAAAATAGCTCATTCTTTTTACATGATGCCTAACCAACATCTTATTTTGTTAATGCTATAAAAGGTATTTGGACTTAATGATCATTATTAAAAATCTTCCTACTGCAAAACAGCTAAAAATGTCAGATAAAAAAGTAGTTGGCCTTGACTCTGAGTGGAATAGAGAAGAAAAAGGAAAGTCATTCTGCCTTTGAGGATTATAACCATAAGTTGGCCATCATATGGGCTCAGGATTGAATTCAAATCACCCACATGGTCTCCCAATCCCCAAGTTGAATTTGTTTGAAATTGTTCTGGGATGGTAGTGCTCTCACTGTAAATGTAAATGTAAATGTAAATGTAAATGTAAATGTAAATGTAAAATTTTGTTAAAGGAGTGAATTCTTAATCCAAGTGTCAGAGAATGACCACAGGTAAAGTTTTAGTGAACAAGACATTAGAATAAAAATAAATCATAGAGCACAAATGGGAACAAGGCACTATGCCTGAGAGCCAACAGACATAACGACAGATAGCTGATCTTTTAATAATTAGGAATTATTAAAAGGAGAATATGTCCTAACTGGTTTGGCTCAATTGATAGAGCATTGGCCTGTGGACTGAAGGGTCCCAGGTTCTATTCCAGTCAAAGGCACACACATGCCCTGGTTGTGGGCTTGATCCCCAGTAGGGGGCATGCAGGAGGCAACCAGTCAATCATTCTCTCTCATCATTGGTGTTTCTCTCTCCCTCTTCCTTCCTCTCTGAAATCAATAAAAATATGTTTTTTTGTGTGTTTTTTTTTAAAAGGAGAATGTAAAGTAAGCATATTTAATATTTTTAAAGAAATATAAGAGGGAATTGAAACATAAATCAGAAACGAGTCTAATCAATCAACAGAATGAAAAGGAACTTACAAAATGGGAGGAAACAATTATAAACCATATTTCCAAAATATATGTGTAAGGAACTCCAGCAACTCAATAGCAAAAAAACTAATAATCCTATATAATGAAAAGGTAATATGCAAATTGACCATCACTCCAACACACACAAGATGTCCGCCTCCATGTGGTCAAAGATGGCCACTCCCATGTGGACACAAGATGGCTGCCACAAGTTGGCCGGCAGGGGAGGGCAGTTGTGGGCAATCAGGGCAGCAGGGGAAGGCAATTGGGGGGACCAGGACTATAGGGGAGGGTAGTTGGGGGGACCAGGACTGCAGGGGAGGGCAGTTGGGGGGACCAGGACTATAGGAGAGGACAGTTGGGGGGGGGGGGGACCAGGCCTACAGGAGAGGGCAGTTGGGAGGGACCAGACCTGCAAGGGAGGGCAGTTGGAGGTGATCAGGCCTGCAGGGGAGGACAGTTCGGGGGACCCAGGCCTGCAGGGAGGACAGTTAGGGGCAATTGGGCCAGCAGAGGAGCAGTTAGGCATCAATCAAGCTGGCTGGGGAGTGGTTAGGGGGTGATCAGACTGGCAGGCAGGAGCAGTTAGGGACAATCAGAAAGGAAGGCAGGCAAGTGGTTGGGAGCCAACAGTCCTGGATTGTGAGAGGGATGTCCCAGATTGAAGAGGGTGCAGTCTGGGCTGAGGGACACACACACACACACACACACACACACACACACACCCCTTATGCATGAATTTCATGCACAAGGCCTCTAGTTTGATTATAAAATGGATTAAGGACCTGAATAGACATTTCTCCAAAGAAGACTTTCAAATGACCAATAGATATGTAAAAAGATAATCAATGTCGTTAATCATCAGGGAAATACAAGTCAAAACCACAGTGAGATCACTTTATACCTGTTACAATGGCTGTTAAAAAAACCAACCAAACAAAGACAACAGATGTTGGTGAGGAAGTAGAGAAATTAGGACCCACACACTGTTGGTGGGAATGCAAAATGGAACTGTAACTATGGAAAACAGTATGAAGTTCCTCAAAAAATTAAAATTCAAACTACCAGCAATCCCACTTTAAAAAAAAAAAATGTTTTGATTGATTTTTAGAGAGGAAAGGGAAGGGAGAGATAGAAACATTGATCAGCTGCCTCCTGCATGCCCCCTAATGGGTATTGAGCCCACAACCTCCTGACTGGGCATGGAACTTGTGAGGTCTTGGTGCATGGTTCGACATTCAGCTACTGAGCCACACCAGCTGGGTAGCAATTCCATTTTTGAGTATTTACCTAAAAGAATTGAAATCAGCTGGGACCGGTTTGGCTCAGTGGATAGAGCGTCGGTCTGCAGACTGAAAGGTCCCGGGTTCGATTCCGGGCAAGGGCATGTACCTTGGTTGCGGGCACATCCCCGGTCGGGGGTGTGCAAGAGGCAGCTGATCGATGATTCTCTCTCATCGATGTTTCTAACTCTCTATCTCTCTCTTCCTCTCTGTGAAAAATCAATAAAATATATTAAAAAAAAAAAAGAATTGAAATCAGAATCTTGAAAAGATATGCACATTCCCATGTTCATTGCAGCATGTTCACAATAGCCAAGATTGAAAAAAAAGCTAAATATCCATAGACAGATGAATGGGGGGCAAATGTGTTATATACATTCAATAGAATATTATTCAGTCTTAAAAGAGAAGGAAATTCTGCAATATGTAACAATATAAAAGAATCTTGAGAACATTATGCTAAGTGAAATAACCAGTCACAGAAGGACAAACACTGCATGATTCCACTTATATGAGGTTTCTAAAATAGTCACATTCATGGAAGCAAAAGAATAGACTTGTGGTTGCCAGGGGTTGGAGAGATGGAGAAACGGGAAGCTGCTAATCAATGGATATACAATTTCACTTATGCATTATGAATTCATTCTAGAGATTTGATGTACCTTATTATGTTTATAGATAACAATATTTTATACTTAAAAATCAGCTAAGAGGATAGATCTTATATTAAGTGTTCTTACCACAATAAATAAAGAAGTTAAAAGAACTGAGACTACAAAAATAACCAGACATTTAAAAAAGAACTGAACAGAACTTCTAGAAATGAAGATATTTAATAGATAGGTCCAAGGGTGGGGAATGTCTGGCCTGCAGGCTGCTTAAGGTTCACGAAATTGTTTGGTCTGGTCCTGTCAAGGCATTAGGGGTGAGTTAATTAAATGTTAATTAAATATAGCAAGCTAATTTTTTTATTTATTAAATTATTATCTGTGTACATATTTTAACAATGCCCCCCCCATACCCTTCCTCCCCAGAGTTTTGTGTCCATTAGTTGTACTTATATACATGTACAAAAGTCCTTCAGTTGATCTCTTATCTCCCCCAGATCTCCCTACTCTCCCTGGTGTAATTTTACAGTCTGCTTCTTGCTTTACTGTCTTTATATCTATCTTTTGGTTTGTCAGTTTATAATGTTTTTTAATGTCCTTAAATGAGTGAGGCCATGTGGTATTTCTCTTTTATTGACTGGCTTATTTCACTCAGCATAATGTTCTCTAGTTCTATCCAGGTTGCTGCAAATGACGAGAATTCCTTCTTTTTTATGGCAGCATAGTATTCCATTGTGTAGATGTACCATAGTTTTTGGATCCAATCATCTGCTGACAGGCACCTAGGCTGTTCCAGATTCTAGCTATTGTAGATTGTGCTGCTATGAACATAGGGGTGCATATATCCTTTCTAATTGGTGTTTTTAGTTTCTTGGGATATATTCCTAGGAGTGGGATTACTAGGTCAAATGGGAGTTCCATTTTCAGTTTTTTGAGGAAACTCCACACTGTTCTCCACAATGGTTGCACCAGTCTGCATTCCTACCAGCAGTGCACGAGGGTTCCTTTTTCTCCACAACCTCACCAACACTTGTCGTTTGTTGATTTGTTGATGTTGGCCATTCTGACAGGTGTGAGATGGTACCGCATTGTTGTTTTGATTTGCATCTCTCAGATAATTAGTGACCTTGAGCATGTTTTCATGTGCCTTTTGGTTTTCCTTCTGTCTTCTTTTGAAAATATTCTATTTAGATCCATTGCCCATTTTTTAATTGGATCATTCATCTTCCTTTTATTTAGTTGTATAAGCTGTTTGTAGATGTTGGAGATTAAACCTTTATCAGTGTTAACATTTGCAAATATGTTCTCCCACACAGTGGGCTTTCTTGTTGTTTTGTTGATGGTTTCTTTTGCTGTAAAAAAGCTTTTTATTTTGATGTAGTTCCATTTGTTTATTTTCTCTTTAGCTTCCATTGCCCTAGGGGCAGTATCAGTGAAGAAGTTCTTTTGGCATATGTCTGAGATTTTGCTGCCTGTGGATGCTTCTAGTATTTTTATGGTTTCCCGTCTGATGTTTAAGTCCTGTATCCATTTTGAGTTTATTTTTGTGCATGGTGTAAGTTGGTGATCTAGTTTCATTCTTTTGCATGTATCTGACCAATTTTCCCAACACCATTTATTGAAGAGACTGTCTTGATTCCATTGTATATTCGTGCCTCCTTTGTCAAATATTAATTGAGCATAGTGATTTAGATTGATATCTGGGTTCTCGATTCGATTCCATTGATCTATATGTCTGTTTTTGTGCCAGTACCAGGCTGTTTTG